AATGTGCTTTCCAGTTCCTGCGCTGTAATTTCAGGTGTAGTTTGTTTTTTTCAAAGTAGTAGAGTTGAGGTTTCTAAGTGGGAATTGCCTTTCAGTTTTTCTGCTTGTATTATACTAGCAGTATCCCGTTTCAAATTATACTGTAGTTGGGAAAGGTGTTTTCCTTGCATGCTTATGATGGTCATTACTGCCTGTTGTAAAGTGGAGGGGAGAGTGACCTGCTGGAGAAGTTCAGAGTGACATAAGCTGATTAGAGAGCAATATGTGAGGAGAACTACCCAGGACTGTGAGATGATGAGAGCCATTATGATGAGAGGTGGAGTCATTAGCAAAGAGGAGTAGGACCTAAATGTAGGAAGGCAGCTCATTTCTTAGGAAGTGCAGAAAGATGGAGTGTAGTGACAGTGATTAATGTTTTTGAAGCAAGGAAAGGACTTCATGGAGCTTCAGTTTTCTGTGTCTTTGGTTGTTTTTGAATTAAGTAGGGCATTAACTGGTTTGAAATTTGGCATACTTGGTGCTTAGAAGAGGTACCAGATTGAAAACCTGGGATGCTGAAGTCATCAGATATCCTGCAGAACAAGTACAGCAAGACAAGAGGCATCATGTGTGCCTCCCCAAAAATGCCCTTTCACACTGTAAGTTGGAAAGGTACCTCAGTAGGGACTGAAGGGTAGTTCAGATTTCATGGTCTGTTTTGAACCAATTGGCTAACTCTGAGACTACTAACAAGGGTATAAGTCAGTATTATTGTGAAGTGGAAATCTGCCCAGTCAGCTAAAGCCCACCCAGTGCTAAAGTTTCTCTGAGTGGGTGCTTATTTTACCTGCTTTGTTACATTTTCTAATGACATTCCTTTTCCTGGTGCCCTTCACATAAAATAAAAACGAGGAGAAGAATGGTTTTATTTTTGGAAGATAAAACTATCTAACTCCTCCGACCATAATGAGGTAAACACGAGTAACAAGACAACACTGTTGTATCCTTTGGCTCCAGGGCGCATCCGTAGTTCTAGTCCACTTAACTGTTTTGCTGTTGGCTTGTTTTCCTGGTGGCTTTTACTGACAACACTGCTTCCTTGTAGGAGGACTGACAAATGGTAGTGGTCGCTATATTTCTGCAGCACCTGGAGCCGAAGCCAAGTATCGCAGTGCGGCAAGTACCTCCAGTCTTTTTAGCTCCACCAGTCAGCTCTTCCCTCCTTTGCGCCTCCGGTACAACAGGTCTGACATTATGCCCTCGGGACGGAGCCGGTTGCTGGAAGATTTCAGAAACAATCGTTTCCCTAATCTTCAACTCAGAGACCTTGTTGGACACATTGTTGAGTTTTCCCAAGACCAGCATGGCTCTAGGTAACTACCGTAGTGAAGTTCCTCGTGAGATTGTGCTGCTGAATGGAGCTGCTGGTCATCTTCGTGCCAAGCATGGCACTAATTGGAGCACGTGCTCTTAACGCTGACCTCCTTCTTCTCTAGGAAATTTCATTATGAAAGTAGTTCAGATCTAGCTGCTTGTTGAAGTTCTCAGTGTAAAACTGGCCTCGTAACTAGACTTGTAAACACTAGTGTTTAGGTATCAAAAAGGTGTTGATTAAGAAAGCGAAATATCTGGCATCTGGAATTTAAAATCATTTTTCAACAATACATCACATACTTATCGTTAGTCTTTTCATCTTTAATCCTTTTCAAATGAAAGTTGTTAAGTATCATTTTACTAAAATATCTCCTTTTATATGCAGAGGCACTACTTTCATTTTAATAAGTTTTATGAACGTCCAATACTTGCTATAGAATTTCGAGGTGTCTCATTGAAACAGCATTTGAGAGGTTTTCCTGTTGTTTACATGAAGCATAATGTACCTTTTTTTTTTTGCCCTTAGATTTATACAGCAAAAGCTGGAGAGAGCTACTCCAGCTGAGCGCCAGATGGTGTTTAATGAGATCCTGCAAGCAGCCTATCAATTGATGACTGATGTGTTTGGAAACTATGTAATACAGAAGTTCTTTGAGGTAAGGGTAAGGCTAAGTGTCTGAACAGAAATGAGACTGAAATGCTGTAAAAGCTGATTCAATGGAGCTGTTTTTTCTTAACATCATAGCAGAATTCTACTGGGTTCCTACCACAGATCCCAAGCGTGTAACACTGCACATGTTTTCTGTTCTGTATCCTCTGCTTTTTTCATAGCAGGCACATTTTCTCCTTATGCTGGGGGTGTGTACATTGGTGAACATAGGTGAAGGTACAGGCTGCACACTCAGGCTTTGCAAGCCTTTTAGCCTCATTTACAGAGAAGTTCAGCAGATGATGGGGAGCACAAAGATTGGACTGATACACTTTGTGCTGGTTACCTCATCTTGGTAAAGAGTGGGTCTGGAAAATGCCCTTGCATCCAACTACCTGTGTGAACTTCAGTGCTGTATATGAAGAAACTCACATAAAATGTATCAAGGCTGAAGACTTGAGAAAGGGTTGTCAAAAGATACATCCAGTATTACTACAAGTAGTATTTAAAGCAGCGTTGTTTTTTGTTAAAAACTATGGGGTGAAAAAAAATAATCCTCATCAAGGAGTTACAAGATTTGACTAAAGGAGAGAAGAAAAAGCAATACCTGTGTCCTGGGAAAAGTTACATGTGGGAAGGGTGTCTAGCATATTGTACTTTAAATCAGGGACTTCAATAAAGTGTCTGGATAGAAGGTGAAGCTGGAATATGTGCAGTGAGAAATAATGTGGTTACTGTAAACTGAAATGTAGTTTTTAATGAGTAGTCTGTGGGGTTTTTTTTTACTTTTTTTAAAATCAAAACATCTTTTGAAAAGTATGACTGACATGTGGTATGAAAGATGTGATCTTGTTCAAGGGTCATCAGTTGCTGCTTTTTTCCATACTGTTAGGATGGATGAATGGATGGATGGATAGATAATCAATTATTGCTAATTCAGAGTTCCCATCTTTATTCTGCAGAAGAGTTCTCAGGAAAAAAAGTGTACTAGGCCTTAGGTGTGTAGGAAGGGACTTAGTTCATGATTTAGTAGGAGGACAAAGTTGTTTGAGGTTTTTTTCAGACACCTACATGACTAGAGGTGTGGGGTTTGACAGTTCTCAGCAGTTCTCAGCTGACTGTCCAGGTGACAATGTCTGTGGTCTCTGGTACTGTGCCAACTCAGGAGCTTGTGTGGGCATCTGGGAATGGGTTTATGTGTAGTATTATTAAGCTTGACTGGCTTTTCCTCTGCATGGAACAGCACAGACGTTTGTAGTAGCAACATGAAGGGAGTAGTATAGGCAGAAATTGGCCACTGCTGAAACGCATTGGTTGAGTTATGCTCTTAATACAGCCAGGATACAAAACGATTCTGATACTGCTCTGCAAAGGGCAGGTATTTCTAGATTTCCCAAAGTGCCCATGGTAAGAATGATCCTTCAAGCCATGTGAAGTTACCAAGAACCTACTGCAGGGGTTGAACTCTTTTGCCTCCCCACCTGCTCCTTTTACAGTTCACTTACTGTGTACAGGATGTAAGACACACTGACCAGTACAAATTTGAGGTAGCAGAGAAAATCTGACTTGGATTAATAGATTACAAAAATCTGTCATTAACTTGCCTGGTATAATTTGTCTAAGTATTCCTACAGGCAGTCAAGTACAAATTATTTCAGTCTTTTCTGTTGTCTTTCAAGGTCATGGGATTTGATGGCAGGTATGTGACTGGAATGTGGAATATTACAAAGTGTTGCATTTAGAATATAAAAGCATCTGGTAAATATACCCATCAAAAATACAAAGGGCAAAATCATTCAAGGCATGCAGTAAACCTGTAATACGTCATGAAAAGTACTTCCTCTGGCATGTCAGTTCCATGATGTCCTCATTTGTTAACAGCATGCTGCTTTTCTTGTAGTTTGGAAGCCTGGACCAGAAGTTAGCCCTGGCAACTCGCATCCGTGGTCACGTTCTGCCCTTGGCCCTGCAGATGTATGGCTGTCGTGTCATCCAGAAGGCACTCGAGTCAATCTCACCTGACCAGCAGGTAATTGTAAGTTAGAGATTACTCTTTTTTTAAAATTTTATTTTTTTATATTGCATCCTTCTTTTTAGTTGCTTAAATTCTTGGTTGTACCTTTCATGCTCGTGGGACGAAAATAGTTAGTTAAATAAAATTGCTGAGGTACACAAGCAAACCCCCAGTGACATATTCCTCTGAGGGGGAGAAAAAAAAAATCACTGTCAAGACAAGGATAACTATTTATTTTTTTTTTCCCCTAGAATGAGATGGTGAAAGAGTTGGATGGTCATGTTCTGAAATGTGTGAAAGATCAAAATGGAAACCATGTTGTACAAAAATGTATCGAGTGTGTTCAGCCCCAGTCACTCCAGTTCATCATCGATGCATTCAAAGGACAGGTAGTGTGAATAGTCCCTTTCCTCTTCTCTAGCATTGCTTGGAATTCCAGATCTCTTTCCATCATTTGCATGTACAGATAGTGTTGGACACTTTTTGCTTCTTTTAAGTATGATAAAAAAGGGATGATAAAATGGGAAAGTTGTCAAAGAGAGAGTTACTGTGCTGGGAAAAGATGAATCAGTTGGAGATGAGCTCTGGAAAGACCTCTTTGGGTGTATTACAAATACCAGTGGAGGTTTTTGGCTTAAGGCCAGACTTTCTGTTTGAGTTTTGTGATATGCCATTTCAAATTTCCTTCATAACTTCTAACATTGCAATATTTTGTGTAATAATAAAGCCTCTGCTCTCTAGCACACATTTTTTCATTAAAGTTCCCATTTTCTTCTTCTGTTGCTTATTTTGCAAGTATGACTTTTCAGTGTTTCCCAGTTAATGTCTATCATTAAGGAAATGTTTTGAAGAAATTCACTAATCTCTTCCCTACATGTGGGTTAGTGTGAAGTGAAGGGGGGTGGTATATGTTTGTTTAATATTGGAGGTTTTGTTCTGTTTCCAAGAAATCTTATTAATATAAGATTGATACTGTGCTGCAGGCTAGAGAATATGCTGCAGCTAAGTAAGATTGTAGTACCCTGAGACAAATGTGTGCTTTTATAGTCTAGAGAAGAATTGTAAACATCTTACTAACTTGGCCATGTTACTAAATTTTACTTTAATGGATGGCCAAATATATTTCTTAACAAAATCTACAATATCCTTCTCTCACCTTTTACCCAACAGCAATACCTGAATTATTGTTGTACATAGCAGTAAATGGCATACCAGAGTTTCTGGGGTCAGGTCTTTTTACATCAAAAAGTGTGTATGGGGTAGATGAGAAGCAGTTTCTGAACTGTAAATAGAGCCCCTTGACTAAAGTGTGGCTGTTTATTTGCTGAACATCCACCCTCACCTCCAACTAATTAAATATAAAAAATATTAGCTAATCTGAGCTGGCAAATGAAATACACCACATTTTAGTCATGTTGTTTAACAATAGGTATCTTTTCCACCTGCCTGCATCGTTTGAATCTGGTTTTAATCAGTTAAAGAGTCTGTGTTCAGTTCTGATCAACACTGACTTTTGAATCTTCTGAATGAATATTTGAAATGCAAACCTGGATTCTGGAGACACAAACACAATGAATAAGCATGATTTTGATTGCCTTGAATACTTGCTTGCAAACTTGTATCTGTAGCAGGGACCCTCTTCCATTTTGTTGGAATGTGAAATGAGTGAAAATCGAGCCAGAATAATTGAACTCCTTTTCATAAAAATGTCAAAATCTTAAAATTTGAAAATGAAGCACAAAGTGAAAAGGAAAGGTTGAAAAGTGAACAGTGCTTAACAAGAGGCTTTCCTTTGCAGCTCAGCAGGATAGAAATATTTTCATGAAAAATGGGATTCTTAGTTGTATAATTCCTGGAGTCTTTGACACAAACCAAAAACCCACTTTCATCTTTTCCTGACTTCTGCTGGAGGTTGGATTCTGATACTGGCAGGCAGAGCTTTTTTGTTTTAATAGAAGTAGCTGGTGTGTTGAGTTCCATTTTCAACAGGGTGATGTTACTGTACCTGTGAAGTTGAGCTGTTGTTACTTCAGTTTGCCTCCTGTTTTCAGGTCTTTGTACTCTCAACTCACCCCTATGGCTGTAGAGTAATTCAGAGGATCTTGGAGCACTGCACCGCTGAGCAGACTTTGCCAATCTTAGAAGAGCTGCACCAACACACAGAGCAGCTAGTGCAGGTTAGTGCATATACTCATTTCTTAAGGCATTTTAGAGCTTTTTTTTGTTCTCATATATTTATTCCTATTTCTTTAAGAAATAGTTTTAATGCATTTGCCGCCTTCTGGTTTTGAAGACACTGATTGTTTGGTTTTATTTCCTTCCATAGTTTTAAATGAAAATTAATTTGGAAGTTGTGAGGCAAAGAAGATACAAAAAGCCTTTTTCTTATACCTTTGACTGTAGCTTTGAATATGCTTTGTAAATGCACAGAGTTAGTATATGGTTTTTACTGCAAAGATTGCCTTTTTGTAGTTTATCTTGATTCACTTCAGTTAACTTCTGATAATGTCTAAACATAACTACGTTGTCAAAAACATGCCTGTTGCTGCTGCTTACTTCTTAAAGCAAAAGACCTTAAACAGGGTTGCCTGTCTTGGCCCCAGACAAACAAAATGAGTGCTACAAATGGCTTTGAGATTGTATTGGTTTAAAATACTGGAAGGGACTTGGTGTTCAGTAGGAATGTGCACACATAAAAAGGCAATAATGGCCTTTTGCTGTGTATTCACAGTCTAGTTTATTTCTCGATGGTTTCATGTATATACAAGTGTCTGGTTAAAACGTAACTTGTCTTGGGGAACCAAAGTTCAGGGAGATGTTACAGCTGTTAAAGGATGATGGTCTTAGTTTTGAGGAATTCTTTCTTGAAGACAATAAAAATTTGAGTAAAATGCTGGTTTTACAGATTATTTACATTTTGCATGTAAACTTTGTGGCCTGTTAAGTGAATTCTTGATGCAGTATTTCTTCCATCACTTTGTTTCTATAATGTGGACATGATTGTGGTTTTCCTTATATCTGGGCAAAGGGTAATTTGAAAGTTTATACAAGAGCTGTATGAATGACTTGGTATAAACACACACCAAAAAAACTGAAATCATCTTATTTTCAGGACCAATATGGAAATTATGTTATTCAACACGTACTGGAGCACGGTCGTCCTGAAGACAAGAGTAAAATAGTTTCAGAAATAAGAGGAAAAGTACTAGCTCTGAGTCAGCACAAATTTGCCAGGTATTGTGCAGCCTTCATGTATTAAAAGTTCACTAACCTTTTACAGTTGTATGGTAGAATGTATTTATTGTCTTACAAAAAGGATATTTTTTTTTTCTGTTGGGTAACTTGCCTCCTGAAATGTCCTATTTTTCTTGAGATGAAGGGCAGTGGCATTTCATACTACATTTGGGAAAGGGGAGATGCTGTTCTGTACCAAAACGAACATGATTCCATGGATTTATGGGATGGTTTTTGTTCACCTTGTACACAAGTGCAGGGAATGGGTTCAAAGTTCCCATGTGAGGATCACCAGAGCTAGGTGAAAAGCTCTCCTAGAATTTGCTTGATAAACTATAAGATGGCACTTCCTGACTGTCTCTCAGTCCAGTCAAGCCATTTACAAGTGTAAAAAGGCTGGTTGGGATTTTGTGCACGAGGAAGTCTCCAGGACTACTGTAGGAGTCCTGAAATATTCTATAGTTAGAACCTGGAAGCCATCCTTCAGTGCTTTCTGCTGAAATACAGCTCATGTGCCTTTTGCTAGGGAAAACACCTCCAAATTCATCCTGGATGATTTAGTGACACTAGCCTGGTCATCAACATTAGGTAGAAATGCACTGTGACACCATGGGGGCATTTGTTTTAAAAATGTATGGAAACTATCAAGTTTATCTGGATTTTCTTTTCCTAAAAGAACCGTTCATGATCCTCTCCTTGGAATTTGCTTAATCTCTAAAGCAAACTTAGGACCAGAAACACTCTGCTGTCTTAGAAGCACTGATGGTCTTTCCAGCTTCTGAGGTACATGGAAGGTCAGAGACTTCCTCTCTGCAGAAGTATTTGGCAGCATCTCTGACCTGGGCATGCTCCTGAAAAGTGCCTTTATGCAAAAATTAGGAAGCCTTGGATCTGGCTTTATCTCTTGTGTCTCATAAGGGCCAAACAGATCTACTAGAGTGTATCTGCAGCCTGAGGTGCAGTGGAAAATCTCTCCTACAAGGTCATAGGTATCAGAAAATTATTTCTTCAGGTGAGGAGGAGTGTACAGTCCTTCACCTTCCTCAGCCTTTGCAGGCTGAAGATGTTGAAATCAGGACTGGAAGCGTTTACATTGCGCTCCTTAGTGACTTGAGGACACTTGAACTGTTCAGATGAAATTGAAAACTACTGAAAAGCATTTGACATCTGAAGCCACAGAATACACTTCTCTTTCTTTTTCAGCAACGTGGTAGAAAAATGTGTAACTCATGCTTCTCGTGCTGAAAGAGCTTTGCTCATTGATGAGGTTTGTTGCCAGAACGATGGTCCTCACAGTGCCTTATACACCATGATGAAGGACCAGTACGCCAACTATGTCGTTCAGAAGATGATTGATATGGCTGAACCTGCTCAGAGGAAGATCATCATGCACAAGGTATGTTTGGATTGGAATAATAATATTATCTGTAGTCATTTTTCTGCTAGGGCACCTTTCCCTCTAGTTGCAAAGCACACTACTTATGGAACCCAGACCTTGATGTATAAACATTCAATTCAGTGGAGCTTGATAAAGCAGAAGATCTTCACATCTCTGAGCACTGAGCTAAAAATGTAAATCTAGAGAGAAGTTTCAAAAGTTGGATTTCATATCCTCTCTTTGTGCCAGACTTTCTGTGAAAATACTTCAATATAAAATTGTATTATCTGTCATCTTTATTAATATAACAGAAGAGAAACATGTTTCTCTTTTTATTTGCTGGTATAAATCTATTCTGCAGTTCTCCCAGGAGAGGTTCCTACACTTTGTAACTTATGGGCACATTTTCTGCTTAAGAATTATCACTGAATCACAGAGTGGTGAAGGTTGGAAGGGACCTTAAAGATCATCAGGTTCAACCTCCTTGCTATGAGCAGGGACACCTCCCACCAGACCAGGCTGCACAAGCCTCATCCAACCTGCCCTTGAACACCTCCAGGGATGGGGCAGCCATAGCCTCCCTGGGCAACCTGGGCCAGTGCCTTCCTACCCTCATGGGGAAGAATTTCTTCCTGATGTCTGACCTAAATCTCCCCTCTCTCAGGTTAAAACCATTACCCCTTGTCCTCGCACTGCCCTCTCTGGTGAAAAGCCCCTCCTCAGCTTTCCTGGAGCCCCTTCAGGCACTGGAAGGTGCTCTAAAGTCTCCCTGGAGCCTTCTCTTCTCCAGGCTGAACCCCCCAACTCAGCCTGTCTTCATCTCCAAACAGTGACAGAAGTGTCATTGCCTTGACTGCCCTGGACTGTTCCACACAGTCCCTGTGTATTCCTGCAGGAGCTCTCCTTGCTCCAGGCACCCACAGAGGGGCTACCTCCCTTCTCCTGAGACAGGTACATCTGTTTCGTGACTCAAAATCACCAATTTGACATCTTTCCAGACACTTCCAAAGTTCTGAAACCCAGGCTTCTAACATTTGGGTTTTTTTCTATTTTTACCATAATATTCTTAAAGCATAGTCACCTCTGCTCACACTTTTTGAGGGGGGAGCAATAATAACAAGTTTCTTCTTCCAGATTCGACCCCACATCACAACTCTACGTAAATACACCTATGGCAAACACATTCTGGCCAAGTTGGAAAAGTATTACCTGAAGAACAGTGCTGATCTGGGGCCCATTGGTGGACCACCAAATGGGATGCTGTAAAAGCCACAGAAAAAAAAACCAAACAAGAAAGAAATGGAAGACAAGAATGACTTGTGAATGATCAAAGCATACAACTTAACTATAAATGTTCTGATTTTTTTAAATCTATTTATTGACTTTGTTCATCCATTTGTAAAATTTTTATTCTTGTGTATATTTTTGGGGAGTGAATTATTAAAAAAAGAAAAAATAAAAAATATCTCCAGCCCTGATCAGGAGACCTATCAGATTGGATGGCTGGCAAAGCACAGAATGCCTGTATATGATGTAATTGTATCAAAATAGCTGTCACATATTTTGTAAATTTTTACCTTGTAAAGTCACTGAAATAGTTTTTAAAGGGAAAAAGTACAGTATTCTTTTAATACACTGGCTCACAATCTGGTAGGTCTACCCAGCATCATAGCACAACAGGTTTATAGAGTTGTATATAGAATTAATCCTTTTTTTTTTCTTTTTCCCTTTTGTGTGAGGTCTTTTATACCAGATTAAAATGGATCAGCTGCATAAGCATTATTTAACATGTTGAAAAGTTAAGTTGTATTTTGGTGGTTCACAACATACTGTCCAGATAATAAAACAGGGCACAGCAAACTAAAGTAGGGAATAACAGGACAGTGGAAACTTGATAGGAGTTGTTTCCATCACGTGCTGTGGATACAGGTTTTTTAAATGGTGCCCTAAGGTTTTTCCCTAGCAATGTGTTAAAAAAAAACAAGTGCTGTATATACTTATATATTTAATTGTTGTACAAGGTAGAGGGATTAAAATGATGGTGGTACCTCCACTCAGTAAAGTACACTGTTGGAAAAGGAGTGGACTCTGTATGAACTTTACAGTCAGTTTTACAAGGCAGGAAGAGTAGAGATTTGTATTTTTTTATTTTGCATATAGAATTGTAAGGATTTGCAAGTGTTGAGCATTCCTTTTGCTTTCTCACTGTAGATGAAAAAAAAAAAAAATAGGTATTGCTGGAGAGAAAAGGGGCCACTGAAAAGTAAACTTGATAGCTCAACATTTAAGCATGATTGATTAAATATTCAGATAGCTTTTTTGCTTCCTATAAATATATGCATTGTATCCGTGTAGTTCATAGGTGTAAGTTTACAGTTTGAAAACAAATCTCTGGTTTTGATGTTTATTACAAGCCTTGCTAATTTAGTAGTGATGCTTACCTTGGTTGTACAGATGTACATTTGTAAACCTTCATGCTGTAAATGTAATTTGTTTTACCCCTTTTTGGGACAAAAAAAAATTTGCATTTTAGTGTATATTCATATCCCCCTTCCCTCTTCTCCCCCTGGCATATAGTGTTGTATAATGTAAATTTATTTCAGCAAATCAAAAGTGATTTTTTTAAATTCTATCTTTATATGGTTTCAGAAAAAAATGAACTGGCTTTCTTTTTATCTCTTGTGAGAAACATTATGTTTTGTTTATAACATAGCTGTTGATTCTGTTAATAAGGACACGTTGGGAAATCAGCCTGTTCAAATTTGAAGTCGAGATAATGAGCTTAGTAAGAAATGGACTGAAATAGTTGGTTAGCACAGAAACCAATGCTTCTTCCATCTTAATAATAAATGTGGCATGATTTTTTTTTCTTTTTTGTACAGAAGAGTACTGTATTTTTGAATAGCCTTCTCCCAGCCTAAAGCAAATATGTATGATACTGTCAATTTTTTTCTCTGGACATATGACATTGTAACAGTAACATAAAGATGATGTACATTTACAAGCGGCCTTATGTACATTTCCCAATGATCTTTTTAAGGCAGAATTGTGACCATATGTGTATAATTAAAATCCTTTTTAATCCTTTGCCTATGGAAATATTTTGGAGAAAAAAGCAAAAAAAAAAAAGCTTACTTTGTATATTCAGTTTCTGAAAGATAAAGGAAGTGCTTTGTATGTTGTTGAAGTAAGTATTTTGTGTAAAACTTGTCGTTTGGATGGCTTAACCTCAAGTGAGATAGTTGGAAAGCAGTGAGCAAATAAAAAGGCTGTTATGGCAGAGGTCTGATGGTGAGGAAAGCAAACAGCAGTGGTATAAACTTGTGTAAGGAATTCTCTGGCATGGCTGTTGATAGCAGGTTTACATCAGTCTGATGAAAACATCCGTCCAAGGCGTTACCTCATTCATAGGCAAATGGGGAAGCTTGTCCTGGCCTGCTTCCAGCTCCTCAGTGTCCAGTAGTGCCTGCTTTAAGTGATGTAGGCCTCATTCTTTTCAGTAAGCACAACTCTAATCAAGTAGTTTTTTGCATGGCAGCTCCTAAAATTCCTCCCAAGAAGTACAAGCCCTGTCATTGGAACCAGAGGTTTCCCGTCATCACACCAAGGATGACTTTTCAGCCTCTTCCTTGGACACAGGAATTCTCAGTGACTATTTTTCCCCCGTATACAAATGCTGTGCATTCTAACCCCCAGAGCTGTCCTTCTCTTTGACATGCAAGACAGCAAGTTGGCTTTTGGGCATGTCCAGACAGAAACTGATAATGTCCCAGTACTTTGTCCCTGTAGCACTCATGCCATGGTGGAATTTAAACAGTCCCACAACTGTCATCCTTAGTGCTTTCAGTATCTTGAACGTAATACTCCATGTGCTCTCCTAAAATAATTTTGCACAAACTCTCTCCAGGAACATGAAAATCACTGGTTTTCCTTTCAACTATTTTAGGCTTTGGGTAGAACCACTAGACTTTTTGCTCAAGTATCGCTTCTTGATATAGATTGTTTATGGACCAGCATAAGTGGGTTTGACTCCAGGTGGCTCATACTGAATAATGTAATTGTTCACATGTATATACTGTAAAAATCAAAATGAAAATGTGTGAATAACACTGTGTGAAATACATCTGGTCTTGTGTTTTTCCTGTAGGAAACCAGCCATTCTTTGCATTCTCCATTACGTGACTTTCCTGCTCTCTGGAGCTCAGTGTTGGAAAGGTCCTCATGGCTCTAGGGATCTGATCTAGGCATCAGTCAGTTGGTGAAGAGCCCTGTGTTAGATCACTGGCCTTTCAGAGGCCAGTTCTGAGCAGCTAAACCTTCATACTGAGACAAAAAATCTGTATGGATTTTGTAGCCTGATGACAGTTTCTTCATACACCACAGGATCCAGGAGGAGGTTCTGAGCATCTGGAGGGCTAGGATTGTTAGCTGTCTGTGGCACCACTGGATCCACACTAACCTTACTGCCCAGGATTTTTCTAAAGAAAATACTTAGCTTAAGATGGGAAGTGGCCTGTCTGACCACAAGGGTCTGCTTTTTGGTGTAAAATGACTTGCCTAAGAGGTCCTTTACAGAACAGCCACAATCCTGTTGCCTCCATCCCTGACTGCAAGATCCATGGATACTCTTTCATTAGAGTATAGGAAAGGTTGAGGTTTCTAGGGGCAAGATGTTGAGATGTTTTAGAGTGCTGATGGAGGTGGAGAAACCAATTCAGTCACTGTTCCCTCTGCTCTAAGGAACAGGCATGTGAAGATACTTGGGCCTTCACTGGGTAATTGGGTTGGTCTGTCAGTCAGTTTTGTTCCCTGGGAATGTTGGATGTTTGGTGTGCTAGTAACTAGGAAAATGGGTAAACAGTGAGGTGACAACTCCCCACCATGTCATTCAGAGCAGCAGAGCTGAGAGAGGAGTTGCAACAGCTTCTTAAAATCTAGTGACTGGTCACTAAAACCCAATGGTAACTATAGAAAAGCCCTTGGCTGCTGGGGGGTTACAGCCAGGGCAGCCACAGTGTCCAGTGCTGAATTTTATACAGCACAGGGGCTGGTCAGTGTGTGTGCTCTGGGAGTGGCAGATCCTTTTGTCCTTTGTTCCATGATGATGTAGTTCCGTGTTGCTGTTTGAGGAAGGAAAGGGGAAAGCCACGTGCTGTGTCTGATCTCAGCTGCTCCAGCCCTGCTCCCCAGCTCACAGCAGGGCAGGAGCATCTGTCACTCTGACACTTGGATGGTTTGCATTGTGCCAACCTGCTGGTAGCACCTGAAGCCATCCAAGGGTCTCATCAGTCCCTGAGCAGCACTGGTGGTGGGGTGAGGGTGAGCTGCAGGCAGGGTGAAGTTCCACTCTGAAGAATCTCCTGTGAGTGGAAACACTCCCAGGCACTACCTGTGCCCAGAGATTGCTGATGCTGATATGATGGTTGCCTTGGTGCTTGCCAGGGATAGCACGTCCCTGTCGGAGCTCTGCTTGGTTCCTCAAGGGCTGGTGTGCAGAATTGGGCTACAGAAGTTGGGGAGAACTTTGCAAATGTAAATCCTGCCCCTGGTGCTGCAGGATGAGCCAGGGGTGTCAGCAGAGCAGCCCAGGTCTCCCCCACTCCATCACCAGAAGGGGTTAGAAACCAGTGCCACAGAAAGACCCATCGTAGGTCACCTCCCATGCAGGAAGGATGGAAGGATGTCCATGGCATGTTGATGGCACTCCAGAAACAAGCACCTTCTCTCTGCTAGTGCAGTGCCAGGGTTGGGGAGAGGAGGCAAGTGCTTTATCCAAGAGAGGGAACCAAAACCCAGAGTTAGGAAGCAAGATTCAGCACGTGGGGGCTCTGGGGAAGCCACCACCCAGTAGGGAAGAGCAAGCTCACAGGGAGCTGCTGGTGTTCCTCAGGGTGGTGGTGCAGGAGGGTTTCCTCCACCAGCCCTGTGGACAGAGCCTGCTCCTTTTGCCTGCTGGCTCTGTGGGTCGGGAACTAGCCCAGCAAATGAAATGCTTGAATTAGTTTGTTTCCTTGATCAGCCTCAGGGGTTTCAAACCCACCTCCCCTCACTTCACAGGAGTGTGTCCTAACCACAGGGAGCTGGGTGGGTTCACTTTCTGCTCCTGATTTTTGGGCTGGGCTTTGAACACAGCTCGAACCATCCGTTGCATCACAAGCAGCACAAGATGGAGCATGACTCCCAAAGGAAGCAGGTGGGAGGGGGCAGGTTCTGCTCTCAGGATCCTCGTCTCCACCTTGATTCTCCCAGACGCGCTTCATGCAAAATAGATCTTGGGAGCAGCATTCCCCATCATTAGCAATCTGGAAATGCTCCAGAGGCTTTTTATGCAGCAGCTGAAATGTAGGAAGAGCTGCTCTGAGGACCCTCTTGATTTCATTAGCAAGGAGGAGTGCAGGAATAGAGCCTTCACCCTCTCAGCACTGATAGTCCTCAAGACTT